GTAGACACTGTCTACACCCAGGGTTAGATCAGCTTAACTATGTCACTCAGGGGTGTGGATTTTTCACACCCCTGAGCTATGTAGCTGGGTTAATTTAACTTTCAGTCTAGCAATGATAACACAATCCAGCGTTTGTAACATTTACATTCACAACCACAGAAGGGAAGGTAATGTCATAAGCATGGATTGGGATGTCAATGAGTAACTCAGGCAGGATGTGGCTGCAAGGCAATACAGAGATGCTTTAGCAATACAATAATTTAAGGATGAGATAGCACTTTGGTGATAAAACCCTTATATCCAGTGACCTTTTTTTCAAGATATTACCTCTGGGATGAAAGGTAGAGTTTGTTCTCCATTTGTATGTTTAAACTGACCTTGGATACATGTATAATATTGCATATATGCGGTGTGATCAGTGTACTGCATTTACACAAAAAGGGCATGTCTGACTTTTGTTGGATTAGCACATCAAAATGTAAAGCTATTTACTTCTCATTCATGACAGAAATTTTTTTCTTCTTTGAGTTCAGTTTTTTTCTGCAGCTCTTTTACATTAAAAATATCCGCAATGAATTCTAGCCCTGAAAAAGCTGGTTGAAAAAGGGAAAATATTTTAACAAACTTTTTTGCAAAAATAAAGTATCCCCCCTCCTCCAATCAAAATATGCCAAAATTATTGAAGCAGCTCCAATTCTGAGTTCTTTGGAGAACTTTAGCAGTCTTCAGAGGACAATCACAGGAGGCTGAAACCAAGAACTGCAGCTCTCCCAAGACTAACTGAGAAGATAAGGGGTGGTGCCTTTCATGTAGAGGTAATATTTCTTGGTAGTCTAGCTATATCTAATGTAAAAAAAAAAGCATAAAAAGCTTGCTAAAAGTCCTTTGATGCCTTCTGAAGAATTCATAAAGTAGTAAAGGGCAGGCACACAATTGTTTGTTTGTTTGCTTCTTTAGTTAAAAGCATCAAGTGGCTGAAGATAGAAGGAAAAAAGTGGACCAAGAACAGAGCCCTAGAGAATATGTACTAGAAATAGGGCCGGCTCCAGCGTTTTTGCCGCCCCAAGCAGCACACACACACACAAAAAAAGCCACGATTGGCGGCAGCTCTACCACCACCGCTTCATTCTTAGGCGGCAACTCGGCGGCTGGTCCTTCCCTCCGAGAAGAACCGCCGAATTGCCGCCGAAGAGCCGGACGTGCCGCCCCTTTCCGTTGGTCGCCCCGAGCATCTGCTTGCTACGCTGGTGCCTAGAGCCGGCCCTGACTAGAAAAATTATCATGAAGAGAAGATAGATTAGAGACATAAGCCACCCAGAACAGTCTATATTTGAGATAAGACTTACATGAGAGCATGAAGAGTGGTATTTTCAAGTGTTCACAGTAAAACTCCCCATTGACTTCAGTGGGAGCAAAGTTAGGTGAATGCCGAGCACTTTTGAAAATCCCACCTCAGTGTAGCTGAGACAATAGACGAGATAACAGTACTTTTTGTTCTAGTCTATTGAACCCTGATGACAGATCCAGTAAAATCAAGACAGGTGATAGACAACTAGGCAGTAGCCACAGCAAGTCCATTGTGAGCCATCCGTAGAGTGCTTTCTATCAAGTGACCTGTTCTGACCCCTAACTGACAATGAATAAAATTGGGGGGGGGGGGGGAGGTGGGTTGGGGACAATGCCCTCAAAAACAGTTTGCAGATGAAAGGAGACAGAGACAGAAAAAATATTAATCATAAAAGGGTCAAAACTGATTTTTTTTAAAGAACAAGAATAGTTAATGAACATCTGATGGGCGGGGGGAAAGAACTTGGTACAACAGTTGGGATGTGTGAAGCAATGGGGTGGACTAACAGAGGAAGCCAGTGTCACAATATCCCTAG